TATACTTCTTAATTTATTTAAATCTTATAATATTAATTTAACTTTTTATAAGGTTCAAGCTTATACCAATAATACTTTTAACAATCTAGCAAATTTTTTTTACTAATTATTATATCTCTTTTTTAACTTTATTTTTTAACTATTATAATATATATTATAGCAGAAGATGGTAAATCAATGTATATCTGGAGACAAATTAAAATGGTATATAACACTATATGTAAAGGAAGAAAAGCAAAATAGTTTGATGAACTAGAAAAGGAGATGATAGAAAATCCAGTATCAAGAGAAGTTAAAAATGAATACAAGCTTGTAACAAATAAACCTAATGCAATCACCATTACAACTGCAAATCTAAGCAATGATCGAAGAACAAAAGAATGGGTAATGTAAAAAAATAGTACAGAAGAAGATTTCAATATTGGGAAAGTAAAAGAAAAAGAAAACATATATATAGAAGTAGAGAACTATAAAGAAATAACAAAGTGGCAAAAAAATGTTGAACAACAAATTCTAATATATGATAAAAACAAAGGCACACATACAGTCAAACGTAAAAAACTAAGAGATATATCGAAGCTAGTTCAGAAAACAGAGAATGGTTTGAGATTGGTCTTTGAGAAGCAATATATAGAAAAAGCACTAGAAAAAGAAAATAAAAAATTAATAGTTAAAACAAAAGAGTTAAGAAAATTAAAAGAGAAAGAGGGAATAATTATAAGTTGTAAAAAGTGGAAAATAGTACTAGTAAATAGATTAGTTAAAAATGAAAGAATTAAAGGGGAAATAATAGAAACATTAGAACAAAATAGAAATCTAGGTAGTTTATGTTTTTACACAGATAGCTCACTTGGTACCTTAGAGAGTGATAGAGAGTTAAAGATAGGATGTGAAGTAGTTTAAGTGTCAGAAGAAGGGCATGTTATGCGAAATCTAACCTGTGCGACTAAGAAGTAGTTTTCCTCAACAAGAGCTGAACTTATAGCAATTCTAATTGCGTTGCTAACAGTACCTAGCGAAAGAAGGACAGAAATAAGAACAGATAGTAAAGCAGCAATTCTAGCAATCAAGAGGGGTCTAGAAAATAGTAGAGTTAGACAATGGCTAAAAACCAATAATAGGGGCCTCATCACAACCATAGCAGAGGTGATAAAGACAAAGAGGATAAATATTTGTCTTAAAAAAGTCAAGAGACATTTGGAGATATATTGAATGATTTGGCAGATATAGAAGCCAAAAAAGGAGCTGCTTCTACAAAGTACTTAATTCCAAAAACACTAAGTACAAAAGAGTATAAGTTAAGATTTATATGGGAAGGAGAAATAGTAGAAAAACCTATCTGCTCCTTTGTTAAGATGCTTGGAAAAGTAATGAACAAAGCCGAATGGACCTTTTTATACAACACTCACAATACAACACACCAAGAGAGAAAGGCTATACAAATATGGCCAATTTTCTACAAGCTACTAAGCGATAGAACCAAACAACGAAACTACATATACAAGACAAATACGATACAGCTCTTCAAAATTAAATGTATAAATAACATGCTTCCAGTACTTGAAAAGCTTAATCAAAGAAGATCAGAAGTATACCGAACAAATAAATATGTAGTATATAAAAAAGAAAAGGAAACTGTAAAACATCTGGTGAGTTGTGAAATATCAGTAAACCTTCTCCACAGTATAGAAGAGCAAGAAGTAGAGGTGACTCTTATAGAAATTAAAGATACAGAAAGGTTAGAGGAAAAGAAAGAACATATACTAGCAATGTTAGGAAAAGGAAGTAAATCTGAAGAGATCCAAAGAAGAGAAAGATGGTTAGAGGTCTAGTTACAATAGAAGACTTTAAGGAGTTGAGATTCTATTTTAACTCCAACAACCAGACAAAGAGCTTCATAGTAAGACTTTGAAAGAATTGGATGAAAAAGGTGTATGAAAAAATATGGATCCCAAGATGCAAGTTGGTACAAGAATGGGAAAAAGAAAATAGCATTGGTCCAAGAGAAAAAAAAGGGTCTTATGAAAATTTTAAGAAAAGAAACAAGAAGAAGAAAAGGAAAAAAAATGAGGCCCCAAAGCGGATCCTTCAAAAAAAACTAATAAAAGAAAGAATAAGAAGAAAGAAGAGGACATGAGGTGGGAATTAGTATTAGAAATTTCAAAGAAAGAAGTATTAAGTTGGATTGAAGATAGTCAATGTTTAGAGTGATGGAAAGTTAACATGTAGTCTTGACAAGTGGTAAGGACTGCTGTTAAAGTACTATCGAAGCCAAATGCAAGATAAAGGGAGTAACAAAAATCAGGTGATTTTTTAGGGAGGGGGGGTAAAAAAAAGTTAAAATTATATATAAAAACCTGATTAAATATATAATAAGAAGGAGAGAGGGTGGTATGCTTTTGATAAAAAAAAATTAGATAATAAATAACATTATCTTTATAGAAATTGTGATTTTGTGAATATGGTATATATGTATCTAAAACCTTTTTTATACTAAGTTAACCACTTTTCCAACTTAAGAAACTTTTGTAAAGCTTGTTAAGATGTATCTAATGGTAGTTAAATCATCCAAATTGGCCTGGAAGATACCAAGATATCTTTAAAGAAACTTTTTTTAACTATGTAGATTTCTTTAAAACAATACTATTGTTTTACAAGGAAATTTACATAGTTAAAAAAAGATTTTTAAAGATATTTTGGCATTTATTAGGCCAATTTAGATAATTTAACTACTATTAGATATACTCAACAAGCTCTACAAAAGTCTTTTAAGTTAGAAGAGTGGTTAATTTAGTATAAAAAAAGTTTTAGATACATACATGCCATATTTGTAAAACTCTAATTTCTATAAGTAATCTGCATAACATTTCTCTCTAGTTAACTCTTGAATTACCAATTAAGTTAGTTTATAAGTATAAAGACATTTGGTATATATCTATATTTATTTATAATTCTTTTTTAAAAAAAATCTGGATGGTTGGGTCAAAAATCTTATTTTATGATATATAAGCCAAAAAAATTTTTTGTGTAGCTTTATTAAGAAATTTTGAGTAAAATTTAAAATTTAGATGAAGATGAAGATTTCTCAATATTTAACTATTCAGAATTAATAAAATATCTTATTTTAATGCATAAATTTATAAAATTAAAATAAAAAAATTTTAGTTGTAACACACCTCATAAGATCAGGTGTAACATAAAATCAAAACAATGAATAAAAGCTTGTTGGTTTAGTTTATTAATTATGGTTCGGGATCAAAGGAAGAAATTTGTCTAATTGGATAAGATTCATTCATTTAATATAGCTAAGAAACAAAAAAAAACTTTATATGAAGAAACTTGTAAATTAATAAATGTACAGAAGAATTAATTTCGTATATTCGAAGAATAGGTAGAACTTATAAAATATGTAAAAATGATATTTATTATGAATAAGCTCAAACTTATTAATACAATATACAATCTATAGGCCAAAGCTCATTACGATTGACAAACCCCAAACAAGTTGCAAAAACAGAATATATTCAAGTAATAAACCCGGACTTCATACAACTATAAGCATATTCCTATTCAAATAGTTATAATAAAATTTATTTAAATCTAACGTGCTCAGGTAGTTTCAAACAAAAACGTTTCTAATTACGGTATAATTTGGTATGGTCCAATAAAAGCGAATAAACTTGTCATCTAAGTGAAGTTCTCCGGGGTCTGATTTTTTTTTTTGATTCTTTTACATAGTGAACGTTAGTACTTCGCTGAAGTTATTAATGTGATTTTTCATTAGTGAACCGTAATTAGCTACCCGGGAAATTGATCTATACTAGCCAATCAGACAATGTTCTTCCTTTGAGGTTCAGGTAGAGCCTTAACGAAAAGTCTAAAAATTTGGCGAGTAATTTTTTTTTAGAACTAAAGGAGGTTTCATAAGCAAAATTATGAGCTACAAGCAATTTTTTAAAACATCGTTATTTTTTTCGATTTCACGTTACACTAGATCTTTCAGTTTGATTGGTCGATCAGGTGGGTGCTATTACAGTATTAAAATTTGAATAGTTAACGTTAATTTCTAAGAAATATTTAAAAAAAGGTTAGATATGGCTTTTTGTTTATAATACTTAATGAAGAAATGTTGACAAAGAAAATCCAAAAATCGCTTATCAAAACGAGTCAAAAAATAGTTTATTTTGTCTAGGCGCCACTCGGTAATAACTTGTCGGCGGATCTGCGTAATTACTATTAAAAATTTTAAAATATTTGATAAAGAATAAGTTTTGGCTCACTAGTCCATTTTATATGATTTTACCACCGAAATGACCGTCTCAGCGAGACGATTCTAAAGAGCCTAAAACCATCAAAATCCAATCACTAAATCCAGAGAAAATTACTGTTTTGCTTACATGGGGTAAAATAGGATGGTTAAACCCATCCTAATTTACCCGATGTAAAAAACGTTAGCGATCTCGAGATTCAGTGACTGGATTTTGATGTTTTTGGGCTCTTTAGAATCGTCTCGCTGAGACGGTCATTTCGGTGGTAAAATCATACAAATTGGACTAGTGAGCCAAAAGTTATTCTTTGTCAGATATTTTAAAATTTTTAATAGTAATTACGCAGATGCAAAGATCAGCATAAAATTGAATGCAATAGTTACACAACCATCTATTTACTGAATTAATAAATATACTGTATTAAGGTTAAGAATAAAGTAATACCGATACGTATACGTACGTACAAAGATAAAATCTCGCAAGTATTTTTAATCAAGTCATAGAAGGTGGTTTCATCAGTGCACAAAATCTATTGTGAATATCAGAATTTCCGGCGTAATTTTAGTCGGTTAGAGCTTGTTTTTATTCATTACAAGTTTCTAAATAGAAAAAAAAAAATACGTAAATTACGTACGTATATCGCTGCGCAATTTTTGTTATCATTTGAAAATTACGTCTGATCGTAATCTTAGCAATTGATACGATTTCTTGTGTTACAAATTTACTCCGTAGATGATAGATTCAACCTGTTCGTATATTTATTATAGTAAAAACTATTAATGAATAGAGTCGAAGAAGTCGATTAACATCCCTGCTAGTACTGTATAAATAAAAGGAAGTGGGTATGAATAGTTGGAGTTTTACTATTAGATCTTTTCTTATTTAGCAAAGTTAACATAACAATTATCACTATCTAAAGTCCAGAAGTCAGATCGGTTTGGATTTCCACATAATTAATATTTGTTTATCTATATATTATTTAAGTGATATCGGGTAAAAGCCAATCGAATTATTTTTTAAAAGAATAATCTTTTCCTTATATTGTTGAAACTCTGATTATAACGATAAATTCGTTTGCAAATTTTGCAACACAGATCTACTCGGAGAAATTTTAATGTACGTCAATATGTCAACCATTTTTTATTAATACAGTAATTAGCAAATTTTTACAAGTACTATAATAAACCTTAGTGTTGACCGAAGCAGTAACTTATTGTTACCGACTCGGTAATTTATTGTAAAACACATATAGTATATCAATATTCTTACGTGGCATACATCATGAGTCACATCTCTAGGGGAACTGATATTAAATACGTAATTTCTATTTGCAATCGTTATCGCTATAGGTAGAGGTTCCCACAATATATAAATTTTTGAAACTGTATCAATATTCTTTTTTGATCCCCACCTCCTAAAAAGTTAGTGTGTTAAATGTTAGACATCCTAAAGTAACGATGGCGTGATCCAGTACCACTAATCTTTATGAAACATCTCTTGTCATGAATAAATTCATGTGAATGTGCTTCTGGTCACGGTAAGAGGAGTGCCGTCTATTACGTAATTTAAAAGGGGATTAGTAGTCTATCAATATATATACGTTGTATATTATAATTGATCATCTAGGAGAGTCCGGCCTTCTTATAAAAGAAATCATGCAATAAACAACACTCCCTAATACGTGTGGTGCTTGCTAAATAAGGCAGTACCATAGTGTCAAATGATTTTTTTTTTTTTCTAAATATCAGTTACGTGACGTTATTTATCGATAATTTTGAATGATGATATAAAGAGTCTTTTTTCTCACAAGCTCCTTACTTTTTTAAAGTTTCTTACCTTTAAGCCTCTAAAATCGTAACCTCTAAAAATCATAACCACATACAAAAAAATCTCAGCCTAAACCTAACAAAGCTCATACGAAAAAAAAAAAATGTTTTCTTTAATAATTTGCTTTATTGTCCTTTTTCTTTTATCAAAAATTTTTGAAAAGGCACTTGGTAAATTAAGTTTCTTTACCTCTTTTTTTTTTCTTTGATTTATTCGAACTTACGTCTAAATTTTTTTTTTTTTGATATAGTTCTGGATATAGACTTGGGAGAAAACAAAGATTATGGAACTGATGACGGTAAATAATGATGTTTTTCAAATATTATTTGAGTTTTCGCCTTGAATGTATAATATTAATCTGAGTAATTTTTATTAAAAAAAGACGTTGAAGAAATTTTAGATACACTTATCTCATTTGTTCAAGAGAACAACAAGAAGTTAGAGTGGGTAGCAAGTAACATGGTATATGCCGAAACTGGAGAAGTGACTGACTTGATTGAAGAGTTGACTGACCTTATAGATGAGCAACGAGATAAAATCGCTAAATGTCTATTTCACCAAAAACTCGAGAAAAACAATGTATTAACTGAAAAATTTATGACAATGGAAAGAAACCCCCCAAAGTTCAAGCTCTAAATGCCCGTTCAAGATTTCTTTGACTGTAATAGAAGAATTGATACAACTGATTTTGCCGGCTGGATAAATGCATCTTTATTAAGCATCGCTTTTACGATTCCATTATTTGTTGATATGAAGTTGTCTCCTATCCGTCTTGATAATTTGGTTTTCTATCTAGATATATAGCACCGACTTAGCGTTTTATGGGTGTTTCTAATCAAATTTGTAAATCAAATTCAGTATAGTAGTGATGTGGTCTATATCTAATTTATATGTTGATCTTGGAAAGTTTTGAGAAAAGCTTCGAGATTTTTATCCCGTATCACCTCACCTCTTTTCCACAGAACAAAAGTGAATAGTCGTAATTGTTGAAGCGCCAATTTAAGGGTCTACTACAATTTGCTCTTCAGGTAATTTTTTTTTTTCGGTTCGCATTATTTTTTAGTTATTCATTTTAAAGACGTTAATCTTTATTTATTATTTTTTTTTTTTTAGAAAATCATGGTGGTTCAAACAGTACATAAAAATATGAAGCACCTTGAATAAGTTGGTGATCTATTTTGATTGGGAAATTTGTTATCTTTCAGTTGGTTCTTGGAGAGAAATTCGAAATTCATTATTGCTTAGTTTTGAAAAAAATTATGGTTGTTTGGCCATTCGAAAATTTTCTTTTTTTTTTTGTTCACAGTAGTATTATGTAACTTTTAGCACAGAAGTTTCTTCTTTCGATTTTGTGAAAAATCTTGTTACATAGAAATAAAGCTGTATTGCGTAATAATAATTTGATAAAATTATTCATAATCGAGATAATTTACAATTATAATTTAAAAATTTTTTATATGTTATAGTAAAATAGTAAAATGAGGGAATAGCAAATATCTTGCCTACAATTCGATCCTGAAGGCTGGTCCCATAAGAACTTCATAGTGCCAAGTAGTCAAGCATCTATCTATGCGTTTGCTCAGATTTATTGGTCCTCTCACGTTTGGCTTTTCTTCTAACTGAGATTTCGTGAACGTTGGTTGCAATATCAAGTTAATAACTTGCGTTCGCTTGTCAATGAAATGCAGCTAACAGCTGTCGAATCAACTCAACATACTTTCTTTCGAGAACAAGAATATGAACGTTTAATCGAAGAGTGCAACAGATATCATATATGGTTTGAACGTATCGTACAAATACCACCACTGAAGCGAAGACAATACCACGTTATAGTAAAATGAGGGAATAGCCTACAATTCAATCCTGAAGACAGGTCTCACGAGAACTTCATAGTGTCGATTTATGGGTTCTTTCACGCTTTGCTTTTGCTCTAACTGGCGTATCGTACAGGTACCACCACCAAAGCGAAGACAATACAGATACTCTTAACTAAAGGTAACTTTAAATTTTCTGATCGACCTTATATTGGTAATTATTGCGTCACTGATTACGTACGTACACGTATTGGATTTTAGATCATGCAAGCCCGATCACGTTACACGAGCTATCAAACCTGGCGTTACGATTATGAAATCTACGTCGTTCCGGAAGTGGGTACCACGGTCAAACTGGATTTGGTCGGGGCATCTGTGGCAACAGATTATGTCGTACAGAAACTCGGCGGTTTGGGCGCTCGCTCTCTCGACAGCACGGTTTCGGGCCAACGAGTCGTCTAGATATTGAGTGCTGCAAAGCGAAAACCTGGAATTCCCGATTTCGGAAATTTCAAATTCCATTTCCGAAAAAGAAATTTCGCAAATCAATTATAGACTTCTAACGAACAATATGAAATAAGATAAATACTACGTATTACATTTCTTTTCAACTTTTTTTTCATTTCCTATCCCGATTTTATAGTAACATAAATATAGAAACGCAAACAATTTATTCAATTTATTCTTTATAGAAATGAAAGATGTTATATTTTGTAAATACACAAATTCAATTAATTTAAATAAAATACTTGTAAGTTTAATTTAAATAAAATACTTGTTAAATCAATTAATTTAAATAAAATACTTGTTAAATCAATTAATTTAAATAAAATACTTGTTAAATCAATTTTCAAAATAGAAATTCTATCTAAAATCGTTTTTTGACGACCTATTGTATTTAAATTGTTCAAAATTCAACGATGCATAATAAAGAATTTGTGATTTCCTTTAGGACTATACTACACAATATTATCTTAACTGAAATATTCCTAATCTTCCACCATATGATTACTGTAAATATGAACTTAACCAAATTAAACAAATCCTTAACACCTACCAAAAACAAAAAAATTCTTCAAGTCTTATCACATACAAAACATGAATATTAACAAAACAAGAATACCACCACAAATGCTTGATGTAATAATATTGGTTTCAGTAATTTTAGACATTCCAGAAGAAGACGTAGAACCGTTAGTAGATGTAGTTTTAGATGTAGAGCTACTAGTAGATGTAGAACTACTAGTGGATGTTGAATTAAAGGGAGAAGTATTACTACTAGAAGAAGAAGGACTAGAAGACGAACTAGAAGAGGAAGTAGTGGAAGGATTGCCAAGAACATCATATGTTTGATATGAAATATCAAAATTAACGGATTGGCTTACAAAAAAATTTCCTATCAAAAGGCACCAATCAGAATTTAAGTCAGATTTTTGCTGAGTACATGATCCAACAAAAGAAGTCGTAGATCCGCAAAGAGGGTCAGCAGTTGGACTACGAGAATTATCTAATAAATACACAAAAAAACCACCCAAATCAACAGGAGTAGTTGAGCTAGAAACGGTGAATGTGGGACCAGAATAAGACATTAAGACAGCATCCAAGATCGAAGCATGTTGAAGATAAGAGTACTCATATCCAAATCCACTCATATCTATAGTGGTAGGTGCTGAATATGTTGATGGGGTTGTGCCGCTATATGTAATGGCTATATATTGAAGTAGCATTAGTAATACTGTAAAATTATATAAAAAATTTTTGCACTCGTTAAATGTAAATGATCAGTAAATACATACATATGGAGCTATACTTTTTCGAAGTAATATCATAGCTTATTTGAGTAGATGATTTAGTTTGATCAGTCGTAAGACATTTAATCCAATAAGTATAGCCAGGAATTGTAACAGAGGTAGCATTAATCTCGTGTACCTAATACCGTATGTACAACATATGTATAATTTTAGAAGATATAATATTTATATTATATGTGATTAGTTTAAAAAAAACAGATAATTTATTTTATATACCTTGAAAATTAAAAGAACTGTTAAAAGAGCAAGATATTTCATTTTATGATTCATAATTGAAACTCTTTCACAAAATATTTTATTTTTGCGAAAAATCTGTGAAATTAAATTGTCGATTACTTATCAGTTATATTTATAATAGTTCGGCAATTACTATATCTTAAATTGTTTTTTTTTTTTACACATAGATTATTTACACAACCTATGGATGCACCGACAAATAAAGGATTGTGATGCGTGCACTGTATATCATTTACATCATAACAATGATTAATTCTGTAATTCAAAGGTTCTAGAAATCTGCTACCTTTTATGATCATTCATTTATCCTCTATAAATATAAATACGCATGACCAATTATTTAAGCAATATTTGGGAATTCTTATAATGCTAGCACTATAAACTGTCTTTTTTTGGGTTCACATAGTAATATAAAAACGATAAAAACGACTATCTCATTTACTTGAGTATTTATGTACGTAGCATAAATCTTATCTGTTATTTTAGCATCACGATAATCTATAATTTTAATAATTTTACTTTGATTATATAACAATTTTATGTGATTTGTACTATTGTCATTAATGTCAGTGTCATTAACGTTAAAGCCTAAGATGTTCTAATTGACTGTTTGCATGTCGACTTCGACGGGCTCGAAATGTCAGTTATGTATTTATTTGTGTGTACGTACGTGGTGTTAGCCTGCATGGGATTGACATGATAGCAGTGAGATTATGACTTAAAATGCGCCCCATTTAATATAGCGATAGGCAGAGTATCCGATTTTATAATAAAAGTCCGCGTAGAAATTAAGGTGCTTCGAACAAAAAAACTAAGGTATTCGATCTAGAGTTTCAGCCGGATCTAATTTGCGTATGTACGTACATACCGGTATGTACAATACATATTCTCCCAACTAGTCATGGCAGTAGTTTTGTTGAAACTTGGGTTACCTTTATTACATGATATTTCATAATTATCACTCCCTTGAATAATTATTCCTTATCCATAGTCATACATACTTCGTAGCCTTGTCCTACTTATCACTTTCTGTCTGTTACTCGTATTATTTATTTAGTTGTATATTTCTTATTAATTATTACTTATTTTATACTTATACTTCATCATATTATATATCCTTTTATACATAGTCTTTATTTATAGCAACATAAGAACAAAATATATGTTGCATCATGACATCAACACGTACGTGAAATAGGAGCATAGGCAGAATCGTTAGATAGGTTATCAATGGATAATGAATGAGATACAAAAAAAAAAAAAAAAAAAAAAACAATCAATGAGATGATTAATAAAAATGATAAAACTGAAATTAGTATCTTACTAACCATGTCGGTTAAAATGCCAATAGACTTTAATTATAATTTTTGCCGGTGCATTGCTGCATTGGTAATGTTGAATTAAATTGTAGAAGAAAATTGCCTCAAATGCTTAGCGTGATGAATATTCTTAAATGTCAAAATTGTATAAAAGCTGTAAGTTTTTCTGAAACGATTTTATAAAATAAAACAAATACAAAGTTATTTAGTAATTTAAAAACCAAACA